AATTGCAGGTAGAGTATATCTTCAATTTTATGCCATGGTATACTAGTGGGTCCTCTCTGGGGAAGGAGATCTGGTTTTTAGCAGCTCACTCCCATGAAACAGAAAAAGAAGAGATCTGAACATCATCTTGATTGTTGTAGAAAGTACACTACAAGTTGTTCTCATGGTGGAGGGGACTCCCGTCCCCTTTGCCATGGGTTTTGTACCTATTGTTTGTTTCCTTGGGGTCTCAGCTTGCCTCAGCAGGGATGATGTGCCCTCTTCAATCTTCTCTCTTGGCTCAGCTCCAGACCAACAGCTAACTTGACAAACTTCTATCCTTGAACTCTCCTTCTGGATGGGAGCTGCTGTGGAAAACTGGCTTCAGTTGGCCATCTTGCCTCCCCCCCCAGAATTTCTAAGTTATGAAGTTTACTTAAAACACTAAAGGATAGACCAAAAAAAAAAAAAATTGTTGAGATCACAAAAGAGATTAGAGTCTATCCAGTGAAGAAGTTTTATAATATCATATCCAAGTAATATATAGCACATTGGGTTTTGGTAGATAACATACTTCATATTTGATACCTTTGGAAAAAAGATGAGGGAGAAATGAAGTAAGGGAAGGAGGGTGTGTGTAAAACCTTCTCTTCCTTTCCCCAGGTACCACCACACTGCAAGAATATATGCACTGCCAGACTGTCCTGGAAAAGAGTGACTAACTTCAAAATCAAAGGAATAGGCTTGTTATATAGATGTGTGATAGCGAGCTCCTTAGAAAAAGAAAGCGCCAAAATCCCAGCTGCCCTCTGCAAGCACAGCCCGTGGCTGTGTGTGTACCCTTGGTCTCACTTGCCTCAGATAATTAATTCCTTATACATTCTAATGTATTTTTAAAGGGAACAACAAATGTGATTAGGATTGTAGCAGGATGTCATTTAGTTGTAAATAACAGAAGCCCAACTCAAACAATAATGCAAATCTATTTTTCCATGGAACTGGAAGCCCAGAGGTGAGTCAGGATTCATGGCTGATAGGATTCACTGGCTCAACAGTATCATCAAGAACATGATTGCTTTGTTTCTGCACTCTGCCTTGAGCAGGATCAGCTTTCTTTTAAAGCTGGCTCCCATCTCAGTTGCAAGACATTTACCAGCAACTTCCAGGGCCACAGGCTTCCAGTCTCAATCTAAAACTGAGAAGAGGGCGAGTTATTTCTGGAACATGTTCTCAGAAGAGTGAGGAGGTCTTTCTAGGAGACTCTCCCTACCCAACACAAGAAAGCCTCTGCTTACATGTCTTTGTCCCCAAGTGGGTCATAGACCCATACTTACACCAATGACTATGGCCAAGTAAAGGGAGCAGATTTGGTTAGTTTGAGATACAAACTTTTCCCTTAAATCCAATGGGAAAGTCATCTTCTCTCAAGGGATTGATGTAGATACTCAAAGACACTTAAGAATGTTATAAAAAAAGAGCATTGAGAGCCCAGGCAACCACCACAGTGAATATTGCAAACAGTTTCTCTTAAGCCTGCAATTTATTGCTGTAGTTCCAACAACTGGACCCACAGCTCTTTCCCTGTGAAACAAACTTTGATGGGCTAGAGTCAGTATTTTTAACATGATGTTCATAACATCCTGAAGAGCTGTTTAAAAATGCAGAAGGCTGGGCTGACTCCCAAAATCAAATTCAGTGTATCTAGGGCATTTTAGCAGATACACAGGATAATTCTGTTATGGGTGAAGGGAGGACTATACTTAGTTAAATTCTGTATGTTACACATATATCAGATATATTTCTTTGTATCTTAACTGCCTTCTTACCATCACCATAGCTGCAGTATATCCTTCTAATTGCTGACTGAATAGATTAATAAAGAGTTAATTTGTTAGTTTATTTTTGTTTTTCTTAGCGTATAAGTTTTAATTTCCAGAATTAGAGGAGTCTGCATGTGGCACAGATGTATAATATTTTTTACAAATTGCTGATTTTATGACTTCTAAGAGGAAGAGTGAGGAATCATTTGGGTAGTGTGATAGTGCCTTCTGTGACACTTGTTTCACTGAAATGTCATTAAGTAGGCAACTCATGCCCACTTTAAGGTTTATTTTTACTCTGGGGCTGTAGTTGCCACCTGTTAAAAGTACATGATGTTTTGTTCAATAAGGCAGTTAGCTTGCACAGCTGCTGCAACGATAACTAAAACCATGAATTAATACCAATACTAATTCTCATGTCTATGTCGTTGAGGGTGTATGTGTGTGTTTTCACAGTGTGAGTATTGACTAGTGACATCTATGTATTATAAGAAGCATCACTAAGTAGATACTGCATATCCAGAACTCTATGCAAAGTTGTGCACCTGCGGACTCTCAGGCTGTTAATTTGTTACAAAGATGCTTCCAGGTATTGAAGCTCAAGTGTAGGTTACCGCACTGCTTGCCTTTGAGGCTTTGGTTTTAAAAGATTGTAATTGCTGACTCTTACAAGTTTGGAATTGCCTTTATCTATGTGCTGGGTCCTTCCTTAAATTTCTTGCTTATACTTACACAATGGAGAAATAATACAGTTTTAGCATTTCTAATCTTTCTTCCTTAGACATCACTTCCTTAGTGTGCTTATTTAACCACATAGTGAGGATCTCATATTGCTATGTCTCTTGACTCTCACTGCAGTATAGGGAACATGAAGAAGTTTTCAAGGAAAAATCCATTTGTTATAGTCTAGCAGGGGGGAGGGGAGAATAGGAAGGGGAAGGGAGAGAAGGGAGGGCGATTGGTGTGGGTCTCACCTCTTGTTCACAATGTGAGCCCTGGGTGAAGGGCTCAACTACAACTTGAATTTTATCTTAGAAATGAAAACAATGTAACATAAATATTTGTACTCTCATATTAATTTGAAATAGAAAAAATAAAAGAAAAAGAAATCCATTTCTTGAAGGGATTTCTCTCTTTAGCCCCTATATTGATTTTGCTTTGATTTCTTTTTTTTTTTTTAATATTCTCCTATGCTTAAGTCCAACTAACTTCCCAGGAATATAGCCATTCCTCATCCTATGACCCAACACTTCTAAATAGTGGTGAGTGACTTTGAATAAACTCTTTATCATATAGCTTTTCCCTTTTTTGTCTTAAGGATGCATTGAATCAGTACTTTGTGAGACAGCAAGGCATAGTGGACTCAATTTAGTTTTGAAGTCTTACTGATATGAATTCAAGTTCATAGTGACCCTAAACAAATTGTTCAGTCACTCTGAACCTCAGGATTTTCCTCTCGTAGATGAGAGTTATTTTCATTTAATTAGCTACTTTGTGAATTAAGTGAGTAAACACACATAAAGTGACCAGCCATAAGTTTAATGTTAATTTTTTTTTTCATTTTGAATCACCCAACTTTTATTAAAAGTGAACCGTCTAAGCCAGCACTGTACAAGCTGCTGTGGTATTTTCCTAAGAGGGTATTCCTACAAGCTTCCAAAAAATTTACTCTTTGAACACATTATGATATATTTTGGACATGATAAATCTGCCAACAGCTTTTTAAATATTTATGTTCTCCATGCCACCCATGCCAACTGTGTTTGCTTTCTCCATTTCTTTATATGCCAAGGAGACAAGCCAAACAGTGTGAGAGGGAAATACTGTCAGGACACAAAGTGGGCTTGTCTAGTGTGTGCTCTATGCAGATGTAACCTTAGTGGAGAAGACTGGAGACCGCTCCCTGGCTGCACCGGGCACCTGAGTTAACCAATCAGCTGAGAACAAAGCTCCAGTTCAGCTGAGCAAATTTTTATTTTAAAACTTCGTGAATTGAGTGAAATAGTACTGGTTTATGTCATATATTTCAACGGTAATATTCTGGGTGGACTGCACTTGTTCACAGAGCAGAAATACCTCCTCACAGAGTATGTCTGGAAGCATAAACGTGAATAGGTGGATTCTGGGCAAAATTGTGAAGCTGCTTCAGACAATTTTTTTTCCCCCTTATAATGGCTGTGCTTCATCCTTGACATACACAGCACAGTAGGTTATTGCCCTTGGAGTCTTGCTGCTCTCATTCCTACCACTTGGAACAGGTATCAAAATGATTCATACTTTTATGAGTTACAGTTAATGTTACCTTATATTGACATTACCTAGAATCTCTCAATCCCAGCCTCAAGTTAGTATCGTTTAAAGGGATTCGGAGTTAATTGGTTTGATACGGAGCCCAGAAGCTGGCATTCTAATACACTCCTAGGGTTGTTAACCACTGCTCTGGGATAAAATTGCATTTTCATGTCCTGGTCTCCTGTGTTTATCCATATGTGATATATTTTGGACAGGACGAAACACTTGAGTTAAAACCGCCTAGGGTCATCCATTCAAATGCAGGCTCCTGTGTCCCTAGCACAGAATCATCACTACCAAATCTTGAAGTGGGTGGTGTGCACGAGTGTGTGTTTGTGTATATGACAGAGAACATTAGAGAGAGGGAGAGAGAGAGATTAGCATCTTCATTTTTAAGAAAAGCACAAAGCGATTCTGAGTTACTCTAAAGTTTAATAACTCCGTTCTTATATGTCATGGAACACAATTTTGGACCATCTGCTATACCTTTTAATTCCTTTTTGCTAAATAAGAAATTAATATTTTTATTTGTATATGTTATGTACAGTTGATATTTTTAAATGTTGTAGTAATATATAATAATTTAGACTAAACTTAACCAAGGTCAATGTTGTTTGCAAAGGGAAAGAAAAATCAAATTCAGACAATTGAATGTTCATTTCTAGTAAATACATATTTTAATGTACATAAGAACATATGCATTCTAATTTAATGTAACTACTTATTAATCTTTCATTAGATAATGACTTATTTCTAATGTATAGACAAAATTACAAGTTGTTGTTTAGAAATGTGAAATATATGATGTTCAATCTCACTTTCTCTCTTTCTCTCTCTCCCCCACTTTCTCTCTCTCCCCCCTCCCACCCTCACCGTCTCCCCACTTCACCCCTTTGCCTCTTGTCCTAGCATCAGACGAAGAAGAGCCAACTTCATCAGGTAAATTTCCTGTGTTGTAAATTTGATTCTTATTTATGACTTTAACAATGAAGATTCAGCTGTTTAAAGTATACATGTATTTTTTCAGATTTCAACCAGAATACTGGCAGTTTTATTTATTTAATTAAAAAATTTTTTCTTGAGTCTACTATGCTGTGCCAGAATGAATGATCCCAGTTAAGCGTTTGAATACAAAGAACTAATACAGAGGAAAACATTATATACAGTGGCATATCAGCATTAAAGAATAAGGAAAATAAAAACATGGGGAAAATGCAGAAAAATAATGCAACAAGAAGAATGATAAAATAAATAAATATCAAAAATGAAGAAAATGATGAAACTTTGAGACATATAACCCTCTATGGGAAAATATGGCATTATCCAATATGTAACTGGCACCGAAATTAATGTTCATTTAAGTTTAAGGACTAAAAATTACGTTTGTCTCCAACACTCATTTTATTTGAAAAATTTGATTCTTACAGTTATAATTTAATTGATCCTGCAACTTGGCATCGTGACTCAGTTCCTCATCCAGCTAATTAGCATTTATTAAACACAGGCTTGCTTGGGCCTGAACCACGTACTGTGATGAATACAAATAGGGAAGTTGTGGTGCTTTGTGCATGGTTACATGACAGTGGGACAGATCAAAGAGAAATGACAGGAGACTAAAGACCAGACGCACTTAATAAGGACAAAAGGGAAGTACAGCTCATTTGATTAGCAATTAATGAAAGACCCAGGCTAGTAGACCAGCGATATCAGGCAAAAGGAGTCAAGATCTGACATGCAGGCATGCAGAGGCTGATCTGAAGAGAAAAGATAGGATCTCAGCAGTCGATGGGTTCCTGGGTAGTGATGGAGGAAAGGAGTTGGGCCAGAGAGACAAGAGCAGGAAACCATTACTGAAATTAATGGACACAGTGGAGCTCGCTCATGTGGGGATGCTGGGAAGTAGCCCAGTTGCTAGAACTCAGATACATGGTAGGGTTGGTTCGGTTCTGAGACCTCACTTATTTCAGCTAGCTTGACTTTGTGACTTTTATTTCCCTGCACATCTGGACACGGATTTGACTTGTAAAAGCAGGTTCAGAAGATCAAAATTGCAAAGTAAGAAAACGAAGCAGATACCTTACACATTATTTTGCTTGATAGTTATGATTATAACTGCCTTGGTAACCAAATCACAGATTCAGATAAACTCGCACTTGTTCCCTCTTCGATATTGTTAGTGTACAACCTAGTTGGATGATGGGAACGCCTACCATTTCTCTGATCAGCGTCAGGTAGCCTGTTTTTAGGAGCAGCCAAATCATGTGACTTGATAGCAAATGCCTCTAACTTCTTTTTGCTTTGATTATGAGGACTTGCTGTTATAGGGTTGCCCAAAGACTGTGCTCCTCACCCTTAATTTGATTTTCTCTTTGGGTGTTAATTTTGACCGCACCCATTGTTTTCAAGCCCAATTTAGTCTCCTGCCTCCTATCCGCTAACACTCCTCACCTTGCTGTGTTGCCTGCCAAGCTATGTTGGTGCCTTTGCAAAATAATTGTTATTTTGCTTGACAAAGATTAATTGTAGCACAGTGTAAATTATATTTAACTATAATATAACAATTCCTGGTATATTTTTCTTATTCTAAATTTATTTTAGTAACTTATCTGCTTACAGAGGTCTTTATGTCAAATGCAACTGAACATTTTTTCTCCAGATATTCATCTTACTCCAGAGAGATCTGAACATCATAGAGTTTAAATTATGTTTTTAGATCTCAGCAGATGTTTTTGTTGTGATTTTAGCTCAGACTTTTAAAATTGAACAAATGTGCTTTTAAGGAATACTTTAGCTATATAATTTTGCGTGCAGCTTATATTAACAGTGAGAAATTGTCATTTAGTAAAGCCGACATTCCTTTTATATAAAAGCTGACAATGGAAACGAATTGTTTTCCTTTTCCTTTTATGAAACTCTATCATAAAAGGAATTTTATAGGATAGTTGCACTAAAACCTTTGATAAAATGCTATGAGATTTACAACAAATTGATTTCATGAGGAATATGAATAATGGTACAAATTGGATTGTGATTTTTTTTTAGTTCTTTTTAGTACCTCCTGCTCCCAATTTTTTAATACACTTTTAAATGGGATATTTATCACTCTGTTCATGTGTCTTTTTCAGTAAAATTTATCAAATATATACCTTAAAAGTGGCTACTCACAATATGGCTGCTTTATTATTTAATATTAATTAATATTTATAACTTTAATATAGCACTGTAATATTAATATTTTCTATATTTACTCTCATCAGTAGAATTTATGCAGGTGGCACTTTCCAATCTCAGACTCATGTAGTGGGCCTCTTCTGAGTTCTATTTCTGTCCTGTTATTTCTCCACTGTGTTTCAATTATCTATAAAATGTAATGTTTTGTTAACTACAAACAGTGTGTATTAATAGTATACTTTGATATGTTCCCAGTGGGTCTTTACCAGGGACATATGCTTCCCTCACATTCCTGTCATAGTTGGACAGTAATTCTTTAATTACATTAATTTGTTTAATTGAAATAATTAGTGTTTTCTAATAAAAGATAAACAACTCCTCAAAGTACAAAACAGAAAAAATAATAAAGTGAATGAGGGTTTTTTTTTTTTAATTTTACTGCCAAAGAGTCCCAGGCTCCTTACTAATAGTAGTTAATTTCTTTTTCTTTCTTTTTGAGAGTCTCATTTTGTTGCCCTTGATAGAGTGCCATGGTGTGAAAGCTCACAGCAACCTCAAACTCTTGGGCTCAAGTGATCCTCCTGATTTAGTCTCTTCAATAGCTGGGACTACAGGACTACAGGTGCCTGCCACAATGCCTGGCTATCGTTTTTTTGTTTTTTTTTTGTTTTTTTTTTTTTTTGGAGACAGAGTCTTGCTCTTGCTCAAGCTGGTCTTAAACTCGTGAGCTCAAGCAATCTGCCCACCTTGACTTCTCAGAATGCTGGGATTACAGGCATGAGCCACTGCTCCCAGCCTAATGTGTGAATTTTGAATTTAAAAACAATGTGTTTTGAAAAAAATCCATATATGATTTATCTAAAAAGTGTAGGCCCTAGGTAGCTACTACTACTCAGTGATAATATTTAGTAAATGTTTTAATGAATGGATATTATATAATAAATCCTGGTGATTTTTATTTCACAGCTACATAGAACTGGATTAATTATAATTCAATAATTATGACCTATGCTCATTTTTTAAAACTATTTTTAAAGAAAATAATGAGACTTCTCTCTCAAAGAACATACAGTATGAAAAAAATCAGGTAAACAAGAAATAAGTCTGAAGAAGTTAATGGAATGTTAGTGTTTTACTTGTTATAACGTTACAAAATGATACAGGCTTTCCTTTCTTTTTTTTTACCTTTTTTTTATTAAATCATGGCAGTGTACATTAATACTATTATGGGGTACAGTGTAATGTTTCTGTATACAATTTGAAATACTTTCATCCAACTGGTTAACATGACCTTCATGTCTTTTTCTTAGTTACTGTGTTAAAACATTTATATTCTACATTTAGAGAGATTCACATATACCCTTATAGGATGAACCATAGGCGTGATTCCACCAATCACCCTCCCCCCATCCACCTTACCCCTCTCCTCCCCTCCATCTCCCCTCTCCCCATATTCCTGGGCTGTAATTGGGTTATAGCTTTCATATGAAAGCTATAAATTAGTTTCATAGTAGGGCTGAGTACATTGGGTACTTTTTCTTCCATTCTTGAGATACTTTGCTAAGAAGAGTATTTTCCAGCTCCATCCATGTAAACATGAAGGAGGTAAAGTCTCCATCTTTCTTTATGGCTGCATAGTATTCCATGGTGTACGTATTCCACAATTTATTGATCCATTCGTGGGTCAGTGGGCTCTTGGGCTTCTTCCATGACATGGCAATTATGAATTGGGCTGCAATGAACATTCTGATGCACATGTCTTCGTTGGGCTTTCCTTTTGACAGTATAACATATGTGATTGGCCTTATATTTTGAATTATTTTAAGACTGCCATCTGTAAAATAGACAAGTGACCTCTCCATTTTGTTGCCATGTAACCATGTTTAGATTTAAAAATAAAATAATTTTAAAATGAAAATATTCTTATACTTTAAAAAATAGCTTTCTGTCTTTGGTTATTTTTTCAAATGTGCCTGACTTCTCTTTTTTGTACCTCGGAATTGCCTTGTAACTAGCACGTGCTTCCTACGAGGGGTTTTTATTCTGCTGTTTTTCAGGGGACGTGCGTGGGGCATCACGTCTGCATTTCTGATTGTCGGTCGGCACACACTCCTTATTGATTATCAAGCATTTGCTTCTTAATTATTTTCAGCTCTGAATATTCTGATAGGATGTGCTAACCCAAAGGACCATATTTTGCAACCTTTGAGTCACAAGGGCAGCTTCACTTAACACCTGCTTCTGTAACTCCCAGAAGCTTCACCCCCTCTTTTTTTACAGAGTGGCATTTATTATAATGGAATCCTACATTCAGGTATTTAAACATTATACTTTATTGAGTATAAAACACAACCAATGAACTCTGCTAGAAGTTCCTTCAAGCTAGGTTATATTCCAGGTTCTAATTATAAGCTAATATGATTCATATTTTTTAAGCAGCTGTAACAGCTACTGTACCTCCAAATGAGTCACCTTTAGAGGTGATATATTTAATCCAATTATATTCTTATTGCTCAAATAATTTTCAGAAACTCTTTTGGAATTTCCTTCAGAAATTGCTGCTGATATGATTCCAGCAGTGATTATTTCTTTATAATTTCCAAACTGTTCTACTGTACTCACCAGACTTTGGTGTCATAAATATATTTTCAAAAAGAAGATTTATGAATATTGTGGGCCTGTGTGTGTGTTTATGTGTGTGTCTGTGGGTGTAAATTGCAGATATGTTTACAATTTTGAAATTAACATTCCCTTGAAAGTATGATCTG